AAACCCTACCTTCACTCACTTTGACTGATTCACCTTCTTCTTCTCAACTCACTCTCACTCTCTCCTTTCTCCTATTTGCTGATTTATCTCCTTGTGGTGACCTTGGTTTAGAAGGTGCTGATTCAAGCTTAGGGCAAAGCTAGCTGAAGTTGTCTCTCTTCTCCGTTCGTTTTCAAACTCCTTCTTCTTCCCTTCGTCCTCCATTTCTCGAAGCTCGGATCTTTTACCCGAGGTAAGGGAAGCTAGTTATTTTACTGTGTTTGGCTAGGACTGAGTGTGTATACTCATTTGCTGTTGGATGATTGCTGGCTTTTGAGCAGAGGTGGCTGAAAAATGGGATTTGGGGTTTTTCGGAGTTTTGAGAAAAATTTGGGGATCTTCTTATTTTGTTGTTGCATGTGTAAAAAGGTAGTATTTTTGGACTATTGGATGAAAATGTGGTAATTTGAACCGATTGCATGTGGAGTTTTCTGATTATTTTGCAGATTTTTGAAGAGTTTTCGAAAGTATGAGGTTTGCTGCTGAACTCGCGCTGAGCCCAGTTCTTCGCGCCGGGCGCGTGGCCACCTAAGGGCAGCATTTAGGCAAGCTCGCCGGGCGCAAAGATGTGTGCGCCGGGCGTGCTTGAAAATGTTAGCCTCTAGATGGCCCACGCCGGGCGAGGGTTGAACCGCGCTGGGCGCGATGTCAGTTGTGACTCATTTTTGGGCTTCTGGCATGGCGTTGAGCACGATCTTAGCCGCGCTGGGCGCGGGGACTCCTTGGAGTCTCTGCCATGGGAGGCGTCGGGCGCAATTCAAATTGCGCTGGGCGCGAGACCAAGGGAGGTCTCTGCCTTCCGCACGCTGGGCGCGGGTTTGGGCACGTCGGGCGCGAGAGACTCCTTGGAGTCTCTGCCTGGCATGCGCTGGGCACAATTATTTATTGCGCCAAGTGCGTGAGAGCTTTGGGCTCTCTGGTTGAGTCCCGCCGGGCGCGGGCATGCTTTCGCCGGGCGCGCTGGCCCCCTAGTGCTCTCTGGTTGTACTGCGCTGGGCGCAACCATGAGTGCGCCGGACGCATAGATGATAATTCATTACATGCTTTACAATGTTGTTTTATGCTGAGTTGAATTGAGATGGATGAATATAATGTGATGACTAGTAGATAATGCTGTTGCTGATGTTGAGTTGTATTAGTTGTATATTGATGTAAGTTGATATGTTGAGTTGTATCAGTTGTATATTGTTGTAAGTTGTTGTGTTGAGTTGTAAAGTTGTGTTGTGATGTATGTTGATATTTGATGTTGTAGGCCGCAAGGCTGAGTTGTTGAAGGCCGCAAGGCTGAGTTGATGTAAGCCGCAAGGCTGAGTTGTTGTAGGCCGCAAGGCTGAGTTGATGTAGGCCGAAAGAATGAATTGTTGTAGGAGATCTCCGAGTTGATATGCGTGACGACGCATTGTTTGCTTATTGATGATTATGCCGTCAAAATCAACGAGATGTATGTTGATGAAGTGTTGATAGTTGTAGTTGTTCATACTACTTAAATCTTCCTATATGTTGTTCTTTTTATGCTAGCTTATCCTTTTGTTGTTTCTATGTGGTTGAACTGCGATGATCATACTATGTATGGGAGCAGAGCAGGGATAGGTGGTGGATAGTGGTGAGTCTGTAGCTGGCAGGCGGAGCTGTCTCCTTTTGATGTTTTGTTTGTTTCAGCTACTTGGTATAGTGGCTTTGGATGTATTTTTGTATTGTACACCCTAACTCTAGTCGGATTGGGACATTTGTATATATTTATATTTTAGATCCTATATTTATATACTCGTTCTATTCTGTCTAGTGTTTCCGGTGCGCTGTGGTTGTGAGTGTAGTGGCCAGTCGGGTCGTTACAGTATATGATAAAATTTTTCATATTTATAAATTCTGATTCGAATTATAAATTATAAGAATCATGATTCTTATAAATGATCAAAATATATTTGGTTAATCTTAACCTATCGAGTTGGAAAAAAATTGGTCCAATCTTTTTTAAGTCTATAAATAAATAGACCAACCTAACTTGACCTAACGGGTTAACAAATTAAACTATCATGTCAGATCAATTTTGATAATTTTACCTGTTGATGAATATCATATAGTTGAACATATTATTTAAATTCAATAACATGGGTGAAATTTTTTTAAAGCATATAAAGTTATATATAGAGAAATATTACCTAGAGGACATGGAACTAGATCTAATTGTTTATTAAAATATTGTATTGATTTTTTTTCTTTATTCAAATATAATTACTTTTTATTTTTTATTAGTTATATTATTTTTAAAAATCTACATCATCCTTTAAAATACCATAAAATTCTTTCAAATCTTATAAATTCTTATGATATAAATTCATTAAAATCTATTTTATAAAATCTTGATTAAAACACTCTATAAAATTTGTACACAAAAGGCACATAATTTTTATTAATAGTATAAATATAGATAACTAAAATTTAAATTAAATTATGTTTGTAAAAAATATTATATTTGAATATATAAATTATATTCAAAATATAAATAAATAGAAAATGTTAAATATATAAATATTTTAAATTCATGATAAATAATTTATACCGTAACACAAAATTATTTTGATTTATTGATAATTTATTTCAATATATTAAAATTTAGTGAAATATTAATTATAATAAATAAAAACCAAATTAAATATATAACTAATTCGTTCATCAAAAAAATCTCTTAAAAATATTTTTGGGTAAGGTGACTATGTTTGATATATAACATCTTATTAATTATTGATGAAAAAAATCATAGACATTAACATTAGAAGGGAGTACAAATGGATTGTTTTGACTGATGTTACACAACAAATAAACAATAACAAAAAGTACTTAAAAAATATATCTATTTATAAAAGTGTCAAATAAAAAATTGATTTCTGATCATTTTGGGAAAAAAAATAGTTGATGGTCTTCTTTTGCATAAATAGGTTAAAGGTCCAAAATTGAAGTTCACCAATTGAACTCCCACACGTTCATGCTGAGGAAAGCCAAAAAAAAAAAAAAAAACTAAATTCAAAGGAAACCATCAATCTTCAACCCCTTCACTTTTCAATGCCATCATTTTTCACTTTTTTTTTTTTACATATAGCAAGTAATGAGCTCCTTAGTAGTTGGGCTTTTGGCCCATGAACCTCCATCAATATACGTTTTAGTATCAAGTCTAAATATATATATATATATATATATTCCATGTTTTTTAATTAAAATATTTTAGAGATTTTTTTATTAATATTTTAAAGAGAACACAGCTATCCAAAAATAATTAAGGTGAAAAAATTATTTAATTTTTGTATGGATTCAAAAGGAGAAAAAAAATTATTTGAATAAAAAAATAAAAATAAAGATACAAATTAAAATGAGTTACTAATAAATTGTAAGAATTTAATTGCAAAATAAAAAAATAAATAACATTAAAGGGGGTGTTTGGTATATGACAAAATTTTTCATATCTATAAATTATGATTTGAATTATAAATTATAAGAATAATGATTCTCATAAATGATCAAAATATGTTTGGCTAATCTTAACCATCATCAAGTTTTGAAAAAAATTGGTCCAATCTTTTTCAAGTCTATAAATAAATAGACCAATCTAACTTGACCTAATAGGTTAATAAATTAAACTATCATGTCAGATCAATTTTGATAATTTTATCTGTTGATGAATATCATAAATTTAAACATATTATTTAAATTCAATAACATGAGTATAAAGTTATATGCAGAGAAATGTTATCTAAAAGACATGGAACTAAAGCCAATTATTTATTAAAACATTATATTGATTTTTTTCTTTATTCAAACCTAATTATTTAAATTATTTTTTATTAATTGTATTATTTTTTTAAAAAATCTACATCATCCTTTAAAATATCATAAAATTCTTTGAAATCTTATAAATTCTTATGATATAAATCTATTAAAATATATTTTATAAAATCTTGATTAAAACATTCTACAAAATGTGTACACTAAAAAAGCACATCATTTTTATTAATAATATAAATATAGATAACTTAAATTTAAATTAAATTATGTTTGTAAAAAATATTATATTTGAATATAAATTATAATTAAACTTTAAATAAATATATATATTTTTGAATATATAAATTATATTTAAAATTTAAATAAATAAATATTTTTGAATATATAAAATATTTTAAATTCATGATAAATAATTTATATCGTAACACAAAATTATTTTGATTTATCGATAATTTATTTTAATATATTAAAATTTAGTTAAATATTAATTATAATAAATAAAAATCAAATTAAATATATAACTAATTCGTTCATCCAAAAAAATCTCTTAAAACCATTTTTGGGTAAGGTGACTATGTTTTATATATAGCATCTTATTAATTACTGATGAAGAAAATCATAGACATTACCATCTGAAGGGAGTACAAATGGATTGTTTTGACTGATGTTACACAACAAATAAACAATAACAAAAAATACTTAAAAAAATATATCTATTTATAGAAGTATCAAATAAAAAATTGATTTATGATCATTCTGGGAAAAAAAAATAGTTGATGGTCTTCTTTTGCATAAATAGGTTAAAGGTCCAAATTTGAAGTTCACCAATTGAACTCCCACACGTTCATGGTGAGGAAAGCCAAAAAAAAAAAAAAAATTCAAAGGAAACCATTAATCTTCAACCCTTCACTTTTCAATGCCATCTTTTTTCACGGTTTTTTTTTTTATTTTTATTTTTTTTTTACATATAGCAAAATTTTTTCAGAGGGAGCCAATTTGTTTCACTTTCTCAAAAACTTTGAAAAAAAAGTCCCTACCTCATTTTGTTTGTTAACAAAAAATGAGTGAAAGGAGAATAGCTAGATTCACTAATGAAGCATAGGTAAGTAACAACTTAATTTTCGTCATAAACATTCACGAGAAGAGGTAAGTAACAACTTAATTTTCATCCCTCTTACTTACAAATGGCTGGTCTTTTTATTTTGTTGCTCTTACATTGTTTATTCTTGATTTTATGGCGATGGATTCGGACATACAGCTGCAATATACATTTCTTAAAGGAAATTTCAGTGCGATGGTTTAGCTAAGTTTGGAACATGCAGTTTAGATTAAATTCATTATAACCTCAATTTTATTTTATTTTACAATATACTAATAAAGTATAAACAACTTGAATGAAAGCGAAAAACAGGAGACCTGTGAATCAAGATTTTTGTGAAAAAGAAGTTAATATGTTTTCACAATATGTCTAATGTATTCTTAATAGTACAAATTCATCTGTTTGAATAATTTGTTTAAATCTTATTTTTGATGATAAATTCTATGAAAATATAACAAATCGTGTTGATTTTTTTTTATATGAAAATGAAATTATGAAGAAGAGTTTAAGCGTAATTTATGAGATGAACATTAATTTTAATAATAAAAAAAACAAGTTGACAATTTTATATTTAATTTATGGGAACAAACATTTTTTATCAATTTTTTTAATAAAAATTAAAATGTAATAAAAAAAAATGTAGACATAACTTAAAAGATAAAGTATAAAATAACACACGGGATGAACAATTTATTTTAATAAAAATAATTGGATAATTTTATACTTAATTTACGAGGCAAATTTTTTTACCAAATATTTTTTCTAATAAAAACTAAAATATTATCAAGACTTAACTTATAAGACAAAATATACTATAACACTTAAATTTACGAGGATAAACTTTTTTACCAAAATGATATTTTCTAATGAAAATTAAAATACAATGATAAAAATTCAGGCTTAACTTATTAGATAAAATATAATACAACACACGGAATAAAAAATTATTTTAATATTATATGAGACAGAAGGTTGAACATATATTTATTTTAATTATATAGTACTAGTATTAGAGTTAGAGAGTTTGGTGGTTTGATGGTACTAAAGGCATTTTGCAAAATTGTAAGGTGAAGAGGGGAAGCCCAAACACATGGAGGCCCGGAAGCAGAAGACGAAACCCTAACTAGCCCATTATGAGGTTACTATAAAAACGTCTCGTAACCAAAATCCCTCACTCACTCACTCGAATAGAAAAACCCTAGGTCAGGTAGCTCCCTCTCCCTCTCTCGCAATGGCCGCACGACCTCTTGTCACCGTGCAATCCCTCGAGGGCGACATGGCCACCGACGCCCCCGCCACTCTCCCCATCCCCGATGTCATGAGGGCCCCCATCCGTCCCGACATCGTCAACTTCGTCCACTCCAACATCTCCAAAAACAGCCGCCAGCCCTACGCCGTCTCCCGCCGCGCCGGCCACCAGACCTCCGCCGAGTCCTGGGGAACCGGCCGCGCCGTCTCCCGTATCCCCCGCGTCCCCGGCGGCGGCACCCACCGCGCCGGCCAGGGAGCCTTCGGCAACATGTGCCGCGGCGGCCGCATGTTCGCCCCCACCAAGATCTGGCGCCGCTGGCACCGCAAGATCAACGTCAACCAGAAGCGCTACGCCGTGGTCTCCGCCATCTCCGCCTCCGCCATCCCCTCTATCGTCTTCGCCCGCGGCCACCACATTGAGTCCGTCCCTGAGCTCCCCCTCGTCGTGAGCGATTCCGTCGAAGGTGTCGAGAAAACGAAGGAGGCCATCAAAGTCCTGAAGCAGATCGGAGCCTACCCTGACGCGGAGAAGGCCAAGTTGAGCCACGGCATTCGCCCCGGCAAGGGAAAGATGCGTAACCGCCGCTACATTTCCCGTAAGGGCCCTCTTATCATTTACGGAACGGAAGGTGCTAAGGTCGTTAAGGCCTTCCGCAATGTTCCCGGCGTTGAAGTGGCTAACGTGGAGAGGCTTAACCTTCTGAAGCTGGCTCCTGGTGGGCACCTCGGGAGGTTTGTGATCTGGACCAAGTCTGCTTTTGAGAAGCTGGACTCTATCTATGGGACCTTCGACAAGCCCTCTCACAAGAAGAAGGGCTACGTGCTACCCAGGCCCAAGATGCTGAACGCCGACCTCGCTAGGATTATTAACTCCGATGAGGTTCAGTCTGTCGTCAGGCCCATTAAGAAGGACCTGAAGCGGGCCACTCTTAAGAAGAATCCTCTTAAGAACCTCAATGTTATGCTTAAGCTCAATCCCTATGCCAAGACTGCTAAGAGGATGTCTCTGCTCGCTGAGGCCCAGAGGGTTAAGGCCAAGAAGGAGAAGCTCGACAAGAAGAGGAAGCTGTCTAAGGTATGGGTACTTGGTTTTATGTCTTTTGATGAATGTTGTTTGTTCTTTATTATTCTCTGAATTTATGGATGACGCCTCTGCCTTCGTTCCACGTGATTTGTTAATTTTAATCTCATTGTTGATATTTGATGTTATTATGATGGTGTATATTCGTTGCTTTTGTTTTAGTTTGAATTGGGGTTTTCATAATTTGTATTTTTATGTTGTTGGTTTGATTCGGTGCTGTAATTCTGTTATTGGGTTTGTGTCTTGTAATATTATATTGATGGGCTAGTTTTGTGTCGATGTTTTATAATTGAGAGTAATGAGCTCCTGTGATTCTATTATCTATCTGTTTTATTATTGTGAAACCAAAGAAGTTATTGATTGCGGTCATGTTCTGTTGCCTATTTAGTTTTTTTTTATATGAACTTGCTTTGAAATATTCTGTGCTAGAATGAAGTATGTGCCAATTGTATCTGCTTTTGAAAGTATGTGCTAATTGCATCTGTGTTGGTGCTTTGTTTTAATTGCAAGTGACTTATGACTACTGTGGTAATTTAGTAATCTAAGGTGCTTATTAATTAGAATACAGAGGGTGCTTTTTGCTGTACAGATTGGTCGTGTATTTATCAAATAGTTTTACTACAGTACATGTCAGGGAAGCCTGTGAAAAATTTAAATGAGCTTACTGGATAGTCACAAGCCTCTTTTGTTGGTTTAGTCTTGGTTAAGGCATCCTGCATGTTATCTCATTTGTATGTTTAACCTCGCTAGTATCCTGCATCTTCAAATTGAACATTGCTTCATATTGACTTTAGTTTTTCGTGTTACTTGTATTTCTCCTATTTCATTAGTTGTCTAAATAATGAATATTGCTTCAAATTGACTTTATTTTTTCGTGTTCCTTCCAGGAGGAAGCTTCGGCCATCCAAGCTGCTGGAAAAGCATGGTATCACACTATGGTGTCAGATTCTGATTATACAGAATTTGACAACTTCTCAAAGTGGTTGGGTGTTTCACAGTAAACTTTATGATTTATATTTTTGTTTTAGATTTATATTTTGTATGCTTATTTGAACGAGATATCTTTGGGATTTTTGTTTTGCGGGTTAAGGTTTTCATAATTATGCAGACAATGTGGAAGTTTTGTTTGTCGAATTTTACTGCAATTTCAGGTTGTCTTAAATTTATTAGTTTTAGTTCGTATTGTGGTTTATTGACCCATTTATTTTTAATCTTTATACATGTTAATGTGTTGGATAGCATTAAATCAATGGTTTTCCGATAATTGAATTGCTCTCGGTACTCCGCCACGTTTTGTACATGTGACATATACACATGGATAACATCTGTTCACCACATTATTTGGCTGATTAATTTCTATCAAATATGTCAAAGTTATAAAAGCTTTGTTATTAATCTAAAACCTAAATATGGTTTCTTTCATAACTTTAAAAGGCTTATTGCATTTGACCTTTTTTGTTGAAGCCTTAGAAAATAGTCCACGATATCTCATGAAAGTTAATGTGTAGTTGTATGGCTTAGTATCCTTCGTTGCGGGTAGACTATGCATATTTATTGAGTTGTTTATGTGCATCTAGTTTTAGAGATTCTTAATGTCTGAATCAGGAGCTCCATGTCCCGCAATGTCTTCACTTGATTTTTTTTAATTTTTTTCTCTCTCTGCTGAGGCTTAATATAAGGATCCAAGGGGCTTAATAAATCCAAAGTTAAATTTGGATTTACCTCTGCGATATATTTTGTTTTCATGTTGTCGTAACTATCATTCGATATATTTTGTTTTCATGTTGTCGTAACTATCATTCAAAACGTTGGAAGGAAGACACAAGAAAGCCTTTTGAGCATGAATTAGTGGAGGAACAGATTATATTCGAAAGGAATATTTTTGACACTTGAGCCTGTGGCTGTACTACATTAATAATCTAAAATTACTAATATAGTGCATTTTACAATTACATAATATTTGACTTAGATGTGGGTTTTCCAATTACATAATTATAAAAACATGTTAAATTTCTTTAAAATTAATAATTGTTTATGGTTTTGGGTGAAATTTAGATGTTTCATCAAACTTAATTACTTCAGAAGATAGCTAAACTTGTAATTTATATATGTTTAACTTGCGGTTATTTTGTTGAAATCTTTACTTAAATATTAAAACCCATCTATGTATCGTGGGCTATAATCAGGACAGTTCTGCTTATAAAATCACAGAGCTGTTCCCATGAGATAGAAAAAAGTAGTATAGGAGTTAAATTGGTTAACGAAGGCCATTATGGCGCGATTAATCAACCAAAGGTGAAAAGGTCCTCATTGTCACTGTCGACGATTTGCTATAACTAGGTTACTCATTGCTGCTGATTTGAAAATAGTCTCTGTGAATCATTGCTGCTGATTTGAAAATAGTCTCTGTGAATCGTAAAAGGCATTGTGTTGTTTTTTGTAAATCTAATGTGATGGTGCCCTCAAATCCTTTCATGTTGATTGTGCAAAAGTCAATATCAATGAAACCTAGATGATGCTAAAAGGAATACAATAATAGGTTCATTAGGTTTAATCCAAGTTTCATTTAGGAGTCATTTGACATGAATTTGGATCACATGGTTTAAGCATGGGAGGGCTGAACATGTGCGTACCAAATTCACTTCAAATGAACCTTAAATGAAACCTAGATGATACTAGAAGCCTTAATTCACGGATTAGCACATGGGTCACCAAAATTTGAATTTCAAATTCCATTTGAAATTCAAATTTTGGTGCCAAGGTTGCTAGCTTGAATTGGCACCAATAGCTAGCCTATCCGGATCTATATATTGCTTCATTCACTCATTTTGTAATCACTTTTGCATATAGAGAAATCTGAAATATATCTTCAGCCGTTTTCTCTCAAAGAGTCACTAAGGTTCTTAGTTTAGCTTTAGGAATCCGTCACCTTCTAAGGCTAAATCGTGAGCTTTCTTTTGCACTCTTAGCTTGAGTGCTTGTATCCAAGCTTTGGTTCGTCCAAATCTAGCTTTCTTCTTCTATTTTCTTTCCAGAATTGAAGTTCAAGGACAAAGATCATTTGTGGAACCAAGCAAGGAGGATTCAACATCTCATCTTACCTACTTGGCTCCATCAGACTGCTAAGAGGATTAATTTTTTATATTGTGCGTATCTGTTGTTGATGATCCTAGTTTCATGTCACGTGTTTTTTTTTAATCTATAGTGTGTTTAGGAACTTGTTTCTTAAGATTAAACTATTTTCTTTTTATAGAAAATAATCTGTTTGTGAAATAATTTAATTGTTTGGAGCAACAACTTATATTTGTAAATAGTTTTTTTTTTTTTAAAAGTAAACTTTCTTTTAGAATCTGAGTTTTTATTTTTGAAAAATAAGCTTTTATAATCTGAACTTTGAAATTTAATATTATTTTTCAATTTTTTTTTCTTTTGAAACTAATTTATTACATAAAACTAATTTTTTGTTGTAATAAAATAAAATTAAACATTTTCAAATCACTTTTCAACAAACTTACTAAACAGAATTTAGTTTTGATTATAATAAATTATTTATATAATCAATTGAATCATCAATTATTAAAATAATTTAATTTCACAATTTTTTCAAATACACTCTTAATTTCACCTTTGATATTTAATGTAATTTCACCTTTGCAATCGACTAGTTTTAATTGAGTAATTATCCTATATGTTCATTGCACTTGATGTTGTACTGCGACGAGAAAAGTATAATTGAACCTTCCATTTAATAATCGGAGGGATTTGAATGTAATCAAATGTGAATGGATGTTAAATTGCAAATAAAATCTCATAAGAATTCTCTTACGGTGAAAATCACCAACAAAGATTTTTCATTCTCTAGAAAAAAATAAAATAATTAAGTGGTTCAAACCGATACATATTTATATATGTTATATATCTATGTATCATATGTATCTTTGATCTTATATATTAATTAGTTTAAAATACTGAATTCAAACTTCTCCATTAAGATTATAATAATATAAAAATCAGGGCTGACTCAAGGTCCAAATAGGTAAAGCAAGGATTTTAGGTCTTAAATATTTTTTTTTAACATTAATATTATTATAAAATTAAAAATATTAAATTTTAAAATTACACCTAAAATAATTTTTTATTTAAAAATTAAAATATTGACTGACTATTAAGTTTATATTAAGTTTATATTGGTACTATAAATACTATTTAATGAATAATAATTTTAAAATTTTTCCTAATCAATAATAACATTTTTTATTTTTTTTAAAAAAGATATTGAATAGTTATTTTAATAGGTAAAGAAATTATAAAATTCTTTAATTTCTTATCTCTTTGTATTATTCATGTCTATCTCTTGGCTTTTCCTTTTTTTGAGTCTCTTTGACTACTCCTTAACTTCCTCTATATTATTGCTTCAATTTGAGTTTTTGACATTTACTTCGAGTGTCATTAACCCATTATCCAATTGCTACATTATTGTTGTATATTTCTGTGCATGTCCTTATTTGGAAGACTTGGAGGTAAAGGGAATTGGAGTGCATATTGACTTTTTGTTCTTTTTGAGTGTCACTGTGTCAGTGTCAGGTAAAAACTAAAAATTAAAACTTGATATACTATTATTTACTCAATTTCTCTTTTGTCAATGCTTGTTAAATGTTCCTTTATCAAATTATCATGTTGTCATTTTTATTAAAAAAATTGTTAATTTAAAAGTTTAAAACCTAACAAAGTTTATTTTTATATATAATTCTACCCTAATCCTCAATTGTGAGATTGATGAATTGATCTAAAATAATTTTATTTTTTATTTTATTGATAATTAATCTCAATAATTTGTACAGATTCAAGAAAGAGCATTAGAAACTTAAAATTTTTAAATTAAATTTAAGTGGGCAAAAGGAGACTTGAGACTTCAAGACAAATACTACGTTTGACAGTTGACAATCAGGTTTTATTGTTTTAACATAGTCTTATTTTATATACTTATATTTAGTGTTGTATATTATAATTTTTAATTCATATAAAAATATACAAATATGTCAACTAGAAAATATGAATCAAGCCATTTAAAACTTGAAAAAAAAAGAGAGAGAGAAAAGTTGAGACTTTAATTGTATCACAAAAAGGAATATGGTTAAATTTATAAAAATAAGCAAGAAAAATGAATTAGAAAATACAAGTGGGTGCTCTTTGAATGAACAAGATAACAATATAGATATTGGTGAAAACAACAATAGAGAAGTAGTTAATTAAGAGGATAATTCCAATTCTCAAACTCATGATAACGAGGAGAAAATTACAAGATTAGATGATTTTACTCTTAGAAATATATATGATCGAAGTCAATGAAATAATATTGATACAAAATTGAGAGACTTAGTAGAAAAAAGCCCTATTAAAGTAATTGATATAGATTTTTCAAAGGATAAATATTCTAGGCAATTTTCTTCATCAAATTACACTAAAAAAAAAATTGTCTAATGAAGAGAAGCATGAAAGAAGATGACTAATTTTTAGTTAGAAAAAAGATCCTATTCTTTAAATTTGCTTTAGGCCCCCCAAAACCTTGAGGTGTCACTCATAAAAATGAACTAAGATTTAATCATCTTAAATTAATAAAAAGATTATTAAACATAATGATCAATCATGAGTTCAACACACTTTGTTAATAAGGTGATTTTTAAATATAAAAAAAAACTAATAATCATCATTATATATATATAAAAAATAAAATATAAATATTAAAAATAATCATCAATAATTCAATATATAAAATAAATAAATAAATAAAATATTTTTAAATATATACTAATAATTTAATTAAAGTGAGAACATACATTAAGATAGTTCATCATAATAATAATTTAGTTCATCACGAATCACTTAAACCATTAATATACCTTAATCGGATCCTACAGCTTATCTTATATTCATGTCATCTTATTTATTTTTACTTCTCTTACAATTCATTTTTTTTTCAGAGAAAAGATAAATGTTCTCAAAAGTTGTATTATTGAAAGTTGAAAAACAACTAAAATTTGTACAAAACTTTTTTGTTTGAAAAATAATTTATTTTTATTTATACAAAAAATTAAAATTTACGATTTTTTTTACCAGTCCTTTTCTCTTAAACTAATTTATTATATAAAAATTGATTTTTGTTATATTCAAAAAATTAAATACCTTGAAATTCAACAATTTTACCTGAACATTCTCATTTCAAAATAATCTAATTTTAACATTCACTTCAACAAGAAAAACCACATCCCAAATGGCACTGAATTTAAAATAAAAATAAAAAAAACTTATAATCCCCCCCCCCAACAAAAAGTTTGTATTCATATTAAAACAAATTGAAGTTCAACACAAGTCTTTAAGAAAAAAAATGTAAAAAACATAATTCAACCATTACTCTAGCGAGAAAACTATACTTCAACCTTCCATTTAATAAAAGATACCATCCCATAAATTGGGATTTCTGAAATATGTATATTATATGTGCCCATAACTCTGAATACATCTTATTCTCCATTATCAATATATTTTATCTCATCTATATGCATTTGGATTAAATACCATGAATATCCATTGAAAATTAAATATTTTAGATGGTCCCATCATCCACTATAGCTAAAAATATCCAATCCGTTAAATCTTTTTAACATAATTGGATGGGTTTGAACGTGATCAAATGTGAATGTGAATGGATGATCGTTTAATGGATCGAATTGTAATCCAAAATACAATCTAGATAAGAACATTAATAACATTAAAATATATATATTCACAAATATACATTAAGTACAGTACCAGTGTATAACAGCAACTTAAGTAAAAAATTCAGGACATACTGTTTCAAGCACGATGAAAAAACATCTAATCTATGAGCTCTTTCACCATTCTTAGCATGAATTCCCCATCCATTATCATCTTAGCTGTCAAGTTCTGCAGTTTGATGGCATAAACTAATTGTGTCCCACTCTGCGGAGATGGAGAAGAGAACAAGTAATTATCTTAAACCAATCATATAAAAGGCAAGAAATTGAAGTACAGTATTACATATTTCAGAAAGGTAACTAGGAGAGGCAAAATTTATGATCCCAACCCATGTACAGATTTTTAGCCCTTTATGATTGATCCAGACTCTCACCCTGTTATATATGTTGTAACAGAAACAAATACATAATATAGTCAATGCACCATTTAAACTCACCATAAAAACCTCCGAGGCCAGCCAGATGTGTCAAAAGAAGTCTGCCTTAGATTCTGGCGCTTGGCAATGAAGCTAAGCACAGGGTGGTTGATACTACTGACCATTTGATATCAGAATTGTGAATGCAATTCAGAGTATTTAAATTCAAAACTGATTCGAAATGTGTCTTGATATACTCTTTAACATGACATTACTAGAACATAATTTCAGCCAAATCAAGGAATCTCTGACATTTCTTGCGACAAGGTTTGGTTCACATCGACTGTCATCTGAGGGCTCCATTAGTGCTTTGAAGAGGAATTTCGGTGACACAAAACCACCACCACTGTTCTATTAGATCAGTGGATGCAGGTGCTTAAAACTTAATATTTGTCATAACTAGGCATGAAATTACTAAATCCAACTCTCTCATTATTCAATACTTCTGATTTAGACAGGCCACTGAAATTCTTGGCATCATTCCAACCACCCCACTGGTTATTTGATGCAAGAGTATTACTACTGAACTCTTGAGAATGTATTTGTTCATAAATTGATGGACTGTTGGACTGAAATTGATCAAGAAACCTTGAAGAAACTCTATAAGCATCAATTTGGGGGAAAAACCTATTTCCAACATGATCTGGAACTCTTAAATTCTGTGTAGGTGTGGATTGTTGCATTAACAGCTTAAGTCTAGGATCATCTTCACGAGGACTAAACTGAGGAAATGAAGTCTGCCTCATGTCAAAAGAAGCATTATTCATCCTTTCTGCCATTGTGCCCTTACCAAAGTCCAATACTGCAAGATTGTTAAATTCATCTCCTATCCTGTCAGTATTTCCAGATGGAGAAACATACTGTGGTTGCAAATGTTTCACTGGAAAATAAAAGATTTATAAGAAATTTCTCTACGAATACAAAATGTAACCAAGAATGCAAAATACAGCAATAAAAAAATGCAACTCTAGAATCATAGAGAAAGTTATACCAGAACTATTACAATCCTGCTCTACTCTCCCATACGAAAACCCTGGAGGTATTCTGCTGGACAATGAAAATCCTGGTGGGCTTGATGTGTGAGCTTTTGACACTGATAAAAGAGAATTATAAACACGGGAGTAAATATCAGCTTGATCAAACTCAGTTCAATAATCAACAAAATTAACAACAATAAACAATGTCATGTTAAGAAGCTTAAATTATTTTCATTTGACAGAGCATGAACAAAATTAAAAACATTAAATTACAAGGAATATAATATGACCTAAAAAACCTGATATGGTATATATGACATAAAAATCCTTTCTGATTGATATATATGGAGTTTTTTTTATATTGTTATAGTTGAAGTCTTTGATGGTTATCGAAATAGTAAAATTGAGGTCCTTAATTGGCAAGTTTAAAAGTAAATTTTCACAACATTTTTTTCCTGATTGGGACTTAAATCTACATCAAAATCCAGAGCGACTTAATGAGCCAATGATGAACTAAAAAGAGCTATCCAATAATCCAACAAGTAGGATTGTAGAAGTGCTCAAAATAACATCTTTCTCCTATCAAAAGTAAACAAGAAAGATAAAGCAAAGTGGAGGGGAGAATATAGGACTGTATGAAGACAAAGATGAAAGGATGAACATCCAAGTAAGCAGTACCACATTAAATTAGAATGCCAAACCAGAGAAATAGAAATTAGAACACCAAACATGAAATATATCAGCAAGATTTATGTATACAAACTCAGAAAGTAGAAGCAATCATGAAAACAACAAAGACCTGAAAGAAATGGACCTCTATCTCCCACACACAAAAAAGGTGCACTTAATCATGTTATTAATCAATAGTAATACTCACTGGAAACATTGGAGGGCACATAAAATTGACTTCCAACAAATTTATCTGATAGGATAGAATTGCCAGATGGGAAGACATGTGGGTATCTCCCAGTGTGTGTATCTTTGTTTCCCACTAAACCACCTGATGAAAAGTTCCCCTCAGGATCAAGTTTAGTAGCCTCAAATGATTGTTGCAAATTAGAAGCCTCATTCTTGAAATCATCCTGTCTTGCAAAGGAAAACCTTGACTGATTTTTGTCTTGCACTTTCCGCAAAGTAGGCGCTTTAAAGGGTTTGTACAGTTCATCACTTTCACCCAACAACTTATCTAATGAACCTTCCCATGCATCTAATTCCAAAGACAAAATATTAGATATAATGTTGTTCTCTCCCATGTCTGAAGCAATCATGCTATCAATACCTGTACCATTATCTTTACTCTCCACATGTTTCACAAATCCTGTCTGCGAGTGTCCATTAAAAGACTCAGAAGTTTTTCCCAAATGATTCTGGTGATAAATTTGATCTTGCTGCAACGGTTGATGGCTTGATTGGTTTACATTCTGAGGTAGACAAGATGAATGAAGCCCAGATGACAGATAATTGATTCCTTTGCTGATTTTTTGTTGTTCATAATCTCTAAGTAGTATGTCATCGACAATGATATCTTCCCAAAATGCTGGTATGGTTGAGTGTTCTGTTGAATGCCCATTACCTTGCTGCAAATGCTGCCCTATAGAGGAATTGATCGAGTTATGGGTTAAAGGTAACCCATCTGGTAACCCATCTGCATCAGGAGTGAAATATGAATCTTCTAGATGATTATTAATGTTAATAGACGATAACCCTGAACATAAGCCATGTACATCCCCATTTGAATTAATGCCAACTGATGTGTCAATATTTAAATCATGTCGGGGGAGCTCTAGGAAGCTTGTGCTCACAGAAGGTGCTACAATATCTTGATCATTGCCTATAAAAGCTGCTAGAGGTGTTTCATAGCTAGACAATACATTGCCAGGAAGCTTTTCCACAGTAACTTCACTGAAAACATTTGACTCCCGAGTTTGAGAATTCCCACCAATATCATGCTTGTTCATCTCTGAAGGTACGAAGGAACCATTCAAATGCACAGCAGAGCCATTTTCAGCTTCCTCCAATCTTCTTGTATTAAGAATAGAACTTTCAGTGCAAGCAACTCTTGACACAAGGGCTTGTGGATCATTAGATGCCTCAACCTTTCGATTGGCCAGATCACCAGGGCATGAACTTGTATCCTGTGAAAGACTGCCAGAAACACACCTAACCCTAGGACAATATACCTAAAAAATTCAGCATTCACACCAAGAACATATTAATGCAAGAAACCCACCAATCAAAGAATTAATTACCAAGAGTTCACTGCAGGAAGCGCTGATGAATTGACAGCCCCAATATCTGAAGCAGATCCTTTAATCTGGTTCTCACATTTCTAGTTTGGGATTAATAAAAGACATTAGTCAGCTAACTGCCTAAAAAATAACAAGATATAAGAGTGAAAAAGTTGAGAACTGGATATATCACCCTAAACGAACAAGTTTTCACAAAAGTTCCATGGGCAAAAACTTACATCTAAAGAACTCTTGGACATTAATTTGGTAGCTGATGACACAAGTTTAGGATCATCTACTGGTGGTGGTAAAACATTCCCTGAACGCCGATGCAAATTATTTGTAGCACCAATGATTTGTTGAACTCTACTCCTTTAACATCCAAAATGCGAAATAACAATTATAATCAAAGGTGGTACAACTATCAAGCATAAATAGCAGATCATGAAAATTGAGAGTAAGAAATTTTTGGAAATTAGGGAGAAATCTAAAGAACTGAGTTATGCAAGATGTTGTGCGTCTGGTTTGTACACTTAAATAGTTTGTAGATTTATGATATGAAAACTAAAGCAACAGCAAAGCACCAGAAGAAAAAGACGCAGAAGTGTAAGACATAAAATACAGCTAAAAGACAACTAGATGATGCTTATATAGGCAACACATACATAGTTCATTCAAGAGTTAAAAATAGAGGGATGGGATACGTGGGAGACAAACATACCTTGCAAATGCTAAAACTAGTTCATCTTTGGTAAAGCTATCCTCATGAGAACCATGGTCATGTAGATATAAACAATCTCTATTGCTGCAAGGCTGGATCAGCAAGATAACTTATATAGTAGCACAAAGATATAACTGTGTAACAAAACACTCATAAGTTCAGCTTAAAGCTATTAATTTACCACATTTCTCAACCACGCATGACAATACTTTGTGGTTCCAAAACAAGCCCTGCAAATGCAAATAACCACCCATCATCCCGTAGCCATGAAGACCTCACCACAACCCAATCAAAATGGCATATCCTTACCTCAAGGGTCTACCTTCTAATACAAAACAATGCACGGATTGAATACATCGAACTGCTTCGGATTCTTTTGAGTAAGTTATATACCTGAAGATAAGAAAATTTAATTCAAGAAATACAGGTTGGTAAATAAATGATAACAGCCTACAAGAATTGGTCTCCAACCATAGAAACATGTTGATTGAACCAACATTCAAATAGACACATAAGAAAGGAAATAATGTGGGTAAAATGAGAGGAAAAGCTATAATTTTCTACTTGAAATTTACTCCTTAACAACTTACACACAACAGCTATTGTTTGCAGAATGTTGGATTATGCCATTTGCCGTTCGAGATATTGACACTTTCAAAACCTTTCCATACCTGCCAAAGTAATCCCTGCGCTGAAGTAGCTGGTATAATCCAAAGAAAAATGTTACAAACCAAGGAAAAATCTGTAACATAATTTACAATATAAAAGATGCAAAGTATCAAGTGAAGTATGCTTTCCATGTTCCACATAGATCTAGCAACAGTTAGATGCATAATGTTAAAGAAGTCAAGAACTCACCTCTTCGTCTGCAAGATTAAGAGGCAACCCAATTATGTACACTAGGTTGCGTTGAATGACTCTAACATCACAGAGATGTTTCCTTCCATCCAATGATTTAGGCTTCAAATTCAATTTTTGCATTTTCTTTTTATGCTGTGAATTCATTTCAGCTACCAATCTATTTAAGGAATAAAAGCAAATTAGTATATTACCTAACAATGGTCTAATAATAAAATAGAATACAGAAAATAGAAATTTAAGCCACAATAAAAAAACCTTTGACAGTTTGATGCCATTGCCACGATGCGGTCTTTGTCATAAGGTGAACGACAGGCTGGACAACGGCCCTCAGTTTCATCCTTCTGTGCCATTTCCATAATATGGTGCCAACACCAGACACAGATCTGTGGAAAAGGAGGAGGAAGCGAAAAAATGAACAAATGCGATTTATTAGGATGAGCAATATATTATACACAAACTCACTATTGCCTTTAGTGAAATGCCATACTGTTCAGCTTCAATCCCAACTTTCCATTTTCACCAAATGGATGATGGATGAAACACAAATACATAACAAGGATAAAAACCAAGGTGTTCAACAATAAATTAAGAAACACATATTAATAAAGGAAGACTTTCATGACAACAAATCCATATATAGGAAAGGAAACTAAACAAGTTTTGAACCTCATAACCACATTTGCATGGCTTCAGCTGCTGATCAGTCAGGTCCATCTCCTCAGTGCATATGGGACACGATTTTTCTCCTTTCCCAGCCATGATTGTCCAGGGAATTCAGCTACAAAAAAAAAAGTAAAAAAATAAATAAATAAATAACCAGCTTAAAAGGGGGAAAAATTCTTCTCATTAACAGATATCAATGCTAATATAACACTCAAAATGTCGTAAAATTCAACATACGCACTAATCAAGATTTTGAAAAAAAATAATCATACAATGAGATTGTTTCTCGCCATGACCACTAAAGCAGCATTTCATCAACTCGAAACGAACACCAAACCCAGAGTTAGTCACATACGGTAGAACCAACCAATTAATAAAACACTAGCAAACTTCGTAATCACTCACTAAAAACTCCACTAGATAACACCACTGTCTCGTTGGGAAAAAAACCGCAAATGACCAACACGCTCTCACAATGCACCATTACCAGTGAAGCCCCGCGGCATGTTCTACTCTTCTACGTCTTAACGCTTCGCCTCTAACTCAAAACAAGCATTAGTGATGATTCCCTTAATTTCCTCTCTAAACTAAATTCACCTCCCGTTCAACTCAACACAGCACGATAAGCGGCAGTAACACGAACCTACTATTCGCAGGAAATTTCAGCAAATTATAGGTCCAGCCACTGGCAAAAACAGCGAAGGAAGGAAAACCGAAACCCTAAGATGAATCCATGATTCCTTATCCGTTGCTACAAGTCGGATAACATTATTCATTTACGCAGAAACATTGAGTTAAGCGATGGCACAATAATCATTAATAAGAGAATAATCTTGGCAGGTTAAAAGGACGAGAAGCATAAAAGACGGATTACATTATCGTTAATTGGTGAAGACGCAGTGGAAAATGAAGGTGAATCGAAAAAGCATAATAACCCTAACAGAAGAGAGGAATGAAGGAGAAGCAGAGAGAGAATGGGAGAAATGAGGGTTAGGGTTAGGGTTAGAGGCAATGAACTTACGGTGAGATCGAGGGAGAGGAAGCAGAGGCGGAGAAATGAGATTGAGAGAGTGAGAGTGAGAGAAGGATAAAGGACGAGAGAAGCGAAAGTGAGGAGTGGACTGTGGACATATGTATTGTATTGTGTTTGTGTACGTAGAAACTAGAACCCCGAGACAGCTCACTTTTCAGTTTTCTTTAAAATAATTAATTAATCTGCGTCATTAATATTTAGTAGTCTTATCATATTTTGAGTGTACGTTTTCTTCGACTTATCTTTATCACATAAATATTAAATGATGTGAGAGGAATTATAATTTATTATTTGCATAAATATTAAGTAATGAGAGAGGAATTATAATTTATTACATGCATAAATATTAAATAATGTGAGAGAAATTCTAATTTATTATATGCATAATCTATACTAGTATATAAAGGAGTATCTTTTTTAGTAATTATTTTAGTTTTTATATTTTGTTGAGCATTATATCTTTTTATTTTTAAAAAATTAGAAAAAAAATAATATAATTTTATCAAATTTAATATTTTAAAACTAATTAACTAATCTTAATACCAGTTAAATCATTACATTTTCATTATTTGATTTTGATTTTGATTTTATTTTTAATTGAGGTACAAAGTGTCTCGATCCACTAACATTAAATAATAAGAAAGAATTTGTGAAAATAGTTTATAATATTATATTTCTTTAGGCCAATTTCTATGTAAATATTTCCTATGAGAGAAAAATAAAAAATAATGAAATAAATTTTTTAATAAACTAAAATATATATAAAATATTTTTATAATTATATGTGAATTTGAATTAATAAAACTAAATATTAAATAGTTTTCAAATTTTAAAAAAAATATAAATTTGATGTATGCATTAAAAAAGTTTAATTTGAGTTAAAGATCTATTTATTATAATAGTAAGTCTACTTAAATTTATTTCACTCAATAACTTGTATTTTACATTAAATTTTAATAATTTTATCATTAAATTAAAAGTTCTTAAGATATAGATCAACTATTCAAATTTTTTTTAAAAATTGAAAACTTTTTGACATTTGGTTTCATTAATTCAAATTGGCAGATAATCATGAAAATATTTTATATATTGATTTAAATTAGCAAAATAGAATATATTATTCTTCAAATTTTTTAAGTTTTGCAGAATAAATCTATGCATAAAAAACTTTTAATTCAATTGTTGAACATTAAAATTTAATGTAAAACATGAGTTATTTAAATAAGTGGATCCATCCTATATATGTTTGTGTGTGTGACACAAGTGTAACTTTTATCGATTATTACATTATTTAATTACTTTATATTAAATATGAATTTGTCCATCTAACCATTAAATTATAATTTCATATAACTTTGTATGTTTAGGTCAATTTTTATTAAAATTGCACAATAATTTGAAGGGAATCAAAGTATTCATATTTTAATATATTTTTGAATGTATATATTTTGTCAATTTTGATCTATATGAAAGAGGTATCAAATAATTTTGGATAAATATAAAATTTAATATATATGATCTAAGAGTAAGGAACTTTCAATATAATAGTAGGTTAAAAAAGTAATTATTTAATTAAATTTTGTTGAGTAGTGTAATAATTAATAAAAATGCACTAATATCATTTACCCTTTCCTATACACACATGGAAATAGAGAAAAGAGATTCATTTATTCTAAGAGCAAGTCTATATATATTTATTATATCACTAAATAACTTACGTTCTATATCAAATTTTAAATTTATAATTATTGAATTAAAGGTTTTTAATATATAGATTAAGCCTGTAAATTTTTACAAAAATTGAAAATTATTTTATATTTCGTTATATAAATTCAAATGTTTCATTAACTCAAATTAATGAATAGTTAAAAACTTTTAATTTAATAGATGAATTGTTAAAATTTGATGTATAACATGAGTTATTGAATAAAGTAAGTCTAAGTAAATTTACTTTTAGAAAAAGTGAATCATTCCCCATATATACAAAGAGAGAGGGAGATCAAATGACTCAAAAAATAACTTTTGGTAAAGTTATTCCATTTAATAACTTGTGGTGTATGATAAATTTCAACGATTTGATCATTAAATTAAAATTTTTAATACATAAATCAAATTTACAAAATTTAAAAAATTTAAAACTTATTTGATACTTCATTTCATTAATTCAAATTAACGAATAACTATAAAATCATTTTATACGTTGATTTGAATCTATATAATGAAGTATCATATAATTTTCAATTTTTTTGAAAATTTTTAGACTTAATCTATATATGAAAACTTTTAATTTAATGATTGGGTCATTAAAATTTAACATACATCGTGAGTTATTTAGTGGAGTAATTTTATTAAGAGTTACTCTTTGAATTACTTGATCCCTCTTTATGTGTGATGAGAGATCAAATTACATCATTTAACTTTTACAACTATTATATCATTATAATCATTGAATTACAACTTTATATTATATTGAATGTGTTTGTCAAATTTTGTTAAAAATAAACAACAATAAAAAGACAATCAAATTATTCATATTTTAATATATTTTAAAAAATATATTACATTGATTTTGATCTATATAAAATGTTATATCAAACAATTATAAATTAATATAAAATTTTGTATATATAATTTAAGAAAAATAAACTTCAAGCTAACGATAAATTTTAAAAATAACCATTCAAGTAAAAAATTATCAAGTAATGTAATAATTGGTAAAAATTATAATCGGTATAATTTGATTCTCTCATATATATATATGTGTGTGTGTAAAGAGAGAAAGAAAGAGAAAAAATAAGAAGATAAGATTTTTTTTCTTCCATTTTGGTCCTTATCTCCTAAACACCATGTGACAATATACCTAAAACACTAGTTGAAATTTAATGTGTCATATTAATTATGTTAATTAACAAACATTCACTTTTGATCCAACATGAATGACATAATGCAATCAAATATTTTTTTATTTTATTTAAAAATTAAAGACTTATTTTACATTTTCTTGTAACAAGATTGATGATTTTTGACAATTTTTGTTATACAAATTTATATAATTAATGATCATATTTATATATATATATATAATCTTTTAGCAGATAAGACTTTTTATTTTATTTTACAAGAAGTAAGAATTGTTACTTAGATATGTGGTTTACAATTTTCTTTTACCAATATAAGGTGGTTTTATTTCAAAATTAGCAAAATACTATAAAGTTTAAATAAATTTATAAAATAAGACATGTTATAATTAAATATGACAATTTTAAAAGTGAAGTCATTAGTTTGAATAAACAAAAATGACTTTGCAAGACGAGTTAGATCTATTTATTTCCTCTTTTACTTAGTGATACCTGTGACATCCTCTACCCCACATACATAATTATACAATAAATAGAGATAAATAAAAAACTTTCATAAATAAAATTCAAGTCTCTAACCACATAAAGGTAAAGAGCTCACATTCATAAAACATAAATCATAGTCTAATGTGGAAATTACAAAAGGATAAAATTAAGGTCTTCTAATCAATTTAACAAAAGTAACATTCTAAGTTAGTTCTAACTACATCCCGATGTCACATATCTTATCAGAGTACGTCCAACTGAAGCCTAAGCTTCATCACCAACATCCTCATGTTGATGGTTATCTACAACACAGTAGAAGACACACATAGAACAAATAGGAGAGTGAGAAACATCTTACTCATGTTAAGGTGTAAAAATAATAGTAAGGCAGCACACACACAAATCATAACAAAGCACAACACAAAACACACGTTAATCAAGCACAACTCAAGTCATACATACATTAGTAGCACATACATAGTCACTCATTATGCAATGATGCCATGGAATCAACTTTCAAATGCATGCATGTGGTGCCAGTCACATATCACATGGTGCATTACCGCTAGCAACACACGTAGATTAGTCTAGGAGTACATGCTGGGTCACACCCTCTGCGCACTTTCACTAGAAGGACATACTACCAGGGTCTAGTCGGGATAGTTAAGCTGCACAAGATACATCCCATGCACACAATGGGCGAGACTGAGACTTACAAACTAAGCTATCCCCAATGACTAATCCCCAAGATTTTACACAAGGGGGCCTTCCCTGGCGGTGTATTCCATATCGTACCCTTAAAATATTTATGCACATGATGCATGTCACACATTCACACTTCATTGACTCATCATTTCACTTATCATAGTTTCTCATATATCATGTCTCATTATCACATATCATCATGTCTCGTGTCTCATTCACTTTTCACATTGTCTCATACAATAAACTTCTCATAGACATATACATTATAATAGCACATAAACCATACCAAGAAATTATCAAACATCATACACATTCAATTTGCAATTCATAACATATGAAGCATAACGGTCATAAATCCAACTTCACGAGTTCACACATTTTTTTACAACTAGCCAATTAATATAATATTTCAATCGGTCAAAACACTTCAAATATTATCCAAAACACGAATCCATCATCAATTTTACATATAATGCCTCAAAATTCATTCGAAAATCATATCCCTAATTTCACTTCATAGGGTTTCCCACAGAAACCCACAAAGCACTCTAATTCATATCAAAACTTATATGTTTTCAAAATCAAACACATATTCACACCCAACAAACATCAAGGAACACAATAGAAAACTCAGAAGTCAAAATAGAAAATATTAGAAATTTGCTTGTTTCTCATAGGGTTCTCTCAGAAACTCACATAGCACTCTAATTCATATCAAAACTTATTTAATTTT